TATTTTTTAAAAAATATCGATGTCGAACCAACACCATATAAATTCTTTATAATTTAATAATAAGTCAAGGTTCTTTTTGTAAGATAAAAATGGGGTTTGAATATTACAGTTGCTAATTTCCTTAGAAGATTAGCAGTCTTGCCACTTTAATGAAACCAATAATGAGAGCTAAATAATATGAATTGAGATGGAATCACTTTGGTCCATCTAGCTTTTTCATGTCTCATCACATCATCGGATAGTCACATATGTAAACATCTTTTTCCAAAAATCAAAGAAAAATAATTCACTATGCTTTCATTTCGATTTCCACTCATATTATTAATTACTTATATTAATTAAACAACCAATCTCCACATCAATACAAATCAATTTTTAAGGAAAAATAATATTCAAAGTTAGTTAGATTTTGTCTAATTGACATTATATTTTTTATTTGAGTCGATCAATTATGAGTAACTTAGATTGATTTCTCTTTGCATTTCTAGTCATTTATTGGTTAGGGTTACAATTCAAAAGGTAAGCTTTATCCAAAACGCACTTCATGTAGTGGTTGTGAACTTTCCTGTAGATCAAAGGAGAAATAAATTAAAGTTAGTCAGATGTTGCATATTGGCCTTCTTGACTTGAGCTGGTTAGCTACAAATAACTTAGGTTGATTTATTACTTCATTATTATTTTTTACCGACTAGAATTACAAGGCTGTCAAAGCGATTTTACCTACCTAGAACATACTTTAGATTAATAGGAGTGAACTTTTCTGTAAAACAAATCAGAAATAAAATACTAAAACATGTTTACTTTATTTGCTTGTCTTACAACAGTACAAATCACCATATACTATTTACTTTAGTAATTTATAGTAGTTGAGATTCCACATATATGGTTTGTGAATGATTAATTATTGATCCCACATCCTTTCAAATAAAAAAAAAATATATATATATATTGATCCCACATCAATTACTTCTAGAAAATTTAATTCACATCCCACTTTTGCATACATGTTATTTAATGTAACATCACTCTCAATAATGTTACACTTTGTTTAATGTAACATGGTGAGATAAAATGAGCGTAAGCATCATTGTTCTCTTTTCATATACTTTACTTTATATATAAATATACTTTTTAAAAGTTTTTAAGGTGTTGATCGACACCGATATCTCTTACATTGAGTACAACACAAAAAATGCATGTAACAAGGCTTAACTTTTGAGATTATCTTCACAATGTCTCCATTGCAACTGGTACTATTCTCAACTTTTTGAGTTGTACCTAATGCAAAGGGCACAAATGTAAGGGCATCCTCAATAGTGGAGATTTTGGTATAGTTTTTAAAAAATTTTGTAGATGTGATTAGAAAAGAGAAAATAGAAATTGAGGAAAAAAAAGAAAAGAAAAAACAATAAAAATAAAAAAAGTTAATTTACGCACCTAGGCTGGCGCGAGATTTGCGCCTCACATGCGTGAGGCGCATCTCTCCCTTCACGCATGGAACCCACGCAACCTACAAAAATCCAAGTTCTTGCAGACACACCCAAATAATCTCTCTCTTCACTCTCTCTCTTCCAACAAAGTAACTCCACCTCAAATACCTTGTAAAATCTCCTTAATGGGGTTGCTCTAAGCTAAAATTAGAGTTCCCAGTGAAAGATACGTGAATTCCATGCATTGATTGACCAATTTAGTTGTGTCATGTGTCAGACTGATTAAAGTTGATGAAATATTGAGATGACACTTTACATGAAGTATGTTGACTCGTTAAGTTACAAAACTTTTAATCAAGGTCGGAAGAGGTTGGGGATGATGCATATGCTCTTACATAACTAAAATTATTATTCAAATCAATAATATATTGAGTTAAATCAAAATCTAAATCTTGGTGCATAGTTCAAATTTTAATTGTGATAATGTATAACTTTAAGCGTAAGCAAATAATGTTTATATAAGTAAATTCGAGTAGAAACAATATAAAATAGTGATAAGTAAGAGGATAGTAATGAATGTAATCATAGTAATGAATAAATATGTAAATATATAATTGTGAGAATGTGGTTATAGTGATTTATAGCCAAATATATGACCGAAATTTTGTTTTCATTATAAAAATGTTTTCAGTTTTTAAAATGAAAAATTGTGCTAGTAAACATGTTTTATATTTTCTATTTTCCAATTCTCTAGTTAGTAAATGGATCCTTGAAGTTTTGGGACAAGTGACTCCTTTAATATATCCCGACTTGTAGAGAGCTTGTTAACCAAAAACTTCCAGCCGATTATAGCCCTGTTTAATAACATAGTTAGATTATCAGCCAATTTTGACTTGTTTGACCATTATTAGATATTGGACTTCGTTAAATAGCCAATACAAGTGTTTGATTAATTAACTTTTTGTAACAGTTTATTGCTCCAAAATGCTAAAATTCAAAAAGTTATTCAAAGTAACTTTTTTTCGATTAACTTTTTGATAAGATGAATTGTACACTTAAAGGTCATTTTGCATGTAACTAACTATCAACTAACAGTCAAACCCGTTAAGTTGGTTATTCTTCCAACTTTTCACCTCTATGACCAGTTGAGCTGCCCATGCGGATTTTATTATTATTATTATTATTATTATTATTATTATTATTATTGTTATTATTATTATTATTATTATTTGGGTTATTAGTTATTACATAACAACTAGTGGACAATGAGGGTTATGAGATTTGAATTTATTATAGTTTAATTTATTTTAAGTGATAATGTTATATCATGGATTTAATTAATGTAATTATAGTAGTTGTTGTTAGCACTATTATAAACGAATTAGTATTTGTCCCGTGCAATGCACGAAAAATATATTATAAAAATATATTATATATGAGGTTATTTATATATAAAAATTTTGTTATTTAATAATTATGTGTGAATTGCTATGATAAAATTATGAGTATAAATATATTTACAATTAAAATAAGAATTGGTATTTAAGATGGGTGATTACTACAAATCTTAAATTATATTAAAATTTTAGTATATAGTATTTAATATTATAAATTTTTAAGAATTGAACTTAATAAACTACAATAGTAATTGAATTACAATTTTTAGAATCACCACGGATCAAAATTTTTAGACCTTTGAGATTTCTAGAAATTTTTAGGTCTAAAAATTTTGATCCGTGGTGACTCTGAAAATTGTAATTCAATTACTATTGTAGTTTACTAAGTTCTTGAAAATTTGTAATATTAAATACTATGTACTAAATTTTTAAGATTGACCTCATTAGAATAATCTCAATTGAAGTTTGTTTGTGAGTTTTTGGATGGATTGGATGAGGCAAGAGAGATGAAAATGAATTAAGGTTAATTTGAATTTTTATGCACTATGTAATAAATATATAAATAAATCTTAACTATAATATAACCATATGATTTGGTGAACAATTATTGTTACAATAATTGCTCACCAAACCATATGGCTATATTATAGTTAATAATAATAGGGATAAAGTACAAATAAGCCACTGAACTATTTGAGAAACAGCAATTAAGCCATCCAACTCAAAAAATCCTCAAATAAGCCATTGAACCCGGAAAAAAAGAGCAAATAAGCCATTGGACCCTGAAAAAAAGATCAATTAACATTTTTTACAGGTTAACTCCAGGTTTTTGCTGATTGGATTGCCAAATGTTTATTTTATTTACGTTTATTATTATTATTTTTTATTAATATTATCCACTTGGATAGTATTATATTTTAAAATAATTATAATCAAAATAATTTTGTCTTGTCGAGATTTGACTTGTTTATTTATTATTTTTTTTCACTAGATCTTTTGTTAAGAAAAAATAATAATAAATAAATAAATTAGATGTAGACAATACAAAACTACTTTGATTATAATTACTTTAAAATATATTACTATGTAGATGAATTATAATAATAAAAAAATGTAAATAAAATAAACATTTGGCAATACAGTCAGCAAAAACCTAAAGTTAACCTGTTAAAAATGTTAATTGCTCTTTTTTTCCGAGTTCAATGACTTATTTGTGGGTTGTTTGAGTTCGATGGCTTAATTACTTTTTCCCAAATAGTTCAGTGGCTTATTTGTACTTTATCCCATAATAATATATTAAATAGGTATAACATGTTTTCAAAAAAAAAAAAAAAAAAAAAAAAAAAAAAGAAGGTATAACATAGTTAATGGCTAATATATAAATGTAGTTGATATTTTATCATAATTCAGTTACTAGTCTTGCTCTATATTATTTATAATAATCAATTTTAACTTATATTTAGATCGATTTTATGTTTTCATTATCAATCCATCAATATAAATCAAATTTTTACTCAACCCTTTTTGACAGGTTTAGTCATTCATGACAGATTATTATGTGGACCATGATCTACATGGTATTATATAGATCATAATAAAAAGCACTGTTGTAAAAATCGACCAAGGCGTTAGGTGTCCGCGTCCAAAAATTAGTTGAGCGTCTAGGCGGCGAAATTAGCTTAGTCGGTCGATTTCTTCCGATTTCGTCTGATATTGTCTAATCCAGTCATTCGTAGTCTAGTTTGATATTTTGAATCTTTGTATGATTGAAGTATTTGAGTATTTTTATTTTTTAATATTATTTTGATGTTATGACTTATGAATTATCATTATTTAATTTATTTAGATGTGTTATTAGATTGAATGTTGAAAATAACCTCATTAAAATTGTCAAACTGAAAGTCTCCCACCATTTTTTTTGCGTTCGCCTAGCATCGCCTAGTCCGTCTAGGTATTAGCGCTGCCGGACGCTCGACTAGCACCTACTGTAACCATAACAAAAAGTATATTTTTAATATATCAAAGAGATGTTTCATTCTTTATCAGTCAATACTCAATATCACAAGATAGATTTACCCAAGAGCGTCGAGGTTGGTTACAAAGAATTGATGAATAATTAAGCATATTAATAACAAATTCTTTCCAAAGACTCTCGTCCTAAAACAGTCGCCGTCAGTGGAGACAAAACACATACTAAACAACACAAAAATCTGAAAGTCCAACGTTCCATAATCCCCTCTTCTTATTCATTTTCGCCAGAATTATCACTCCGAAATCCTTCTTTTCACGCGCACCTCTTCCCTCTTTCACTCCCCACGCGCCGCCTCCGCTCCGCCGTCTTTAGTTTTTGGATAAGGGTGGGAAAGGAGATCTGAAGAAAGTGAAGATAAGAAGGAAATAAAAAAAAAAAAGTTTGGGACTTTACTCGCCCCCTTTATTATGACTTAGCTCAATGATACTGTTTGAGAACGAAACCAAATGGGCGGAGTGACGTCATCCATCGCCGCTAAGTTCGCCTTCTTCCCACCGAGCCCTCCGTCGTACACGGTGGTCGCCGACGAGTCCTGCGCCGGGAAGCTTAGCATACCGGAGGTTCCCGCGAGGGATACTGTCGACGTTTTGAAGCTGCGGACTCGAAAGGGCAACGAAATCGTGGCCGTCCATGTGAAGCATCCAAAGGCGTCGGCTACTATGCTCTACTCTCACGGTAATGCCGCCGATTTGGGGCAGATGTTTGAGCTCTTCGTGGAGCTGAGCCTCCGGCTGCGTATCAATCTCATGGGGTAAACTTCTTAAATTTTGGATTGAATTTAGATATTTTTCGAATTTATCAGTCTTTTGATTGAAGCTTTCCGTTTATGTATCTGTGAATTTAATGGCTTTCAGTACTCCTATTCGCGGTTTTAGGAAACATTAGATTCTGTTATATGTTTAGAAGATTCTATTCAGTACTATTGCCCACAAAAGGCAAAATCCCTTGCCCCCGCCCAGACAGGACTGTGGAGGAGTAATTGAGTAAACCCATAAGTCATTAGTGGGAGTGGGAGGACCGCCTGGTGTCCACAAGGGTGAAATTAAAGATTATTGAATCTTTTGATGGTTAGAGCAAAAAGATTCAACCTTTTTCACTTTGGGTGACATTTGAAGTGTTCCTCCAAGAGCCCAGCAAAGTTTCCTCTTGTTGTCACAGTTGGATGGCACGAAAAAGGCATAAATGCGAAGCCTGGAAATTTTCTTCCAGAGCATTGATTAGGTTATATAAACATGATTTTGATCTGTCTTAGGGGCAGCTTCACTATAACTTGCATCTTCCCGGTCATTTGAAGGAACATACTATCACATTCGAATTATCAGTTATAATTGGCTGATTCTCGTTGTTGTTGTCAGTTTGGTAGTGAAGGATTTGTTAATTTGTCAGTTCTTTCTTTGTTGGAGCGGGAGAGAAGGAAAAGGGGAATAGAATACCTTTCTGTAGCACACCTTATGTCTGACTGGTGCATGAAATTTGCGTTTTGAATTTGTTATTCTGTGCGTGAGATAACATTGAACACTAACCATGTATAAATCTTGAAATGAAATAATCAAATTGCTGCTTCTTTTCTGAACAAGTTTGTTTTCTGATTTGTTTATATCTTATTTCCTTTTAGGTATGATTACTCTGGATATGGACGATCAACTGGAAAGGTTAGATGTATACTTCCTTTTGAAATATATAGTAGCTTATATAATTTTATCAAAACGGAGATAATCCCCCCTCCCTTTCTCCCTCTATAACTGAATTGAATTGACCCTGTTTTTGGTTGATGGGGTTGAGGGGCAAGGTGGGGATTAAGAAAGTAGGATCGGGATCGATAAATAGATCTGGTCTAGAAATACTTGCAAAGATACTATGATAGCAACATCTGACTTGACATTGTAGTACAACCTAAGACACGTTAAGATCAAGACACGTTGAGATCGAGGCATAGGTGCACAACATTCCACCTATAGAAGGGACTTTAGGACACACTTACGAGTCTTGACCTATAAACGCGTTTTAATAATAGAACTTGCACATGTTCAGAGAATGCTAAAGCGTCCTCACATTTCATGGCTATATTCTCCTTTGTTTTTGTTATATTCCCGTTGTCAAAAACATAACAGTCGTCATTTTTTTTTTTCTGGGACAGCCGTCTGAATGTAACACGTACGCCGACATTGATGCAGTTTATAAGTGCCTAAAAGAGCAGTATGGTGTCAAAGATGAACAGTTAATACTGTATGGCCAGTCTGTCGGCAGTGGCCCCACCATTGATCTCGCATCACGTGTGCAGAATTTGAGAGGGGTTGTTTTGCACAGTCCAATCTTATCTGGGCTACGAGTGTTGTACCCTGTTAAAAGGACATATTGGTTTGACATTTACAAGGTAAAAAAGACTCTACGTACTTCATTTTTCCTGTACTTTTGCCCTCTGGGACTTACTTGATTCTGTTATTTATTTCAGAATATCGACAAAATCAGTTTGGTGAGCTGTCTTGTTCTCGTCATTCATGTAAGTTTGCTGTGCCATTTTCTTTCCTATAACCCCTTTGGCCGAGGAATAGTGCCTAATTAGTTATCTTGCTTTCCGAAAAGTCTCGTTATCCATGCTTCCCAGGATCCCGTGTCGTTTAAACAATTAATGGAAGTTCGGGTTTCTGTATTTAGGGAACAGCAGATGAAGTTGTTGATTGCTCCCATGGAAAGCAGCTTTGGGAGCTTTGCAAGGAAAAGTACGATCCTTTATGGATAAACGGAGGCGGGCACTGCAATCTTGAACTTTACACCGAGTACATCAAACACCTGAAGAAGTTCGTTTTGAGTCTAGGCAAATCAAAACCACCCGCAAATGGATCTCAAAAGCCAGCACCGGACTCTGAAAACCAGAGTAAACCAGCCGAAAATGGTCCTCCTGCAGCGGATAGATTCGATTTGCACGCTGACGTCCCGGAAATTTCTAGAAACAGTTTGGACAGTCGGCTCGAGAAGTCTAAGAAGTCGAATAAACCCGAGAAATCTAGGATGAGCACAGACCGCGTGGACAGATTTAGGAGAAGAAAGGGCTTAGTCTGGTGATTTAGTTTAATACTCGAAGCTGAGAAGGCTAAGGTAAAGATGATGTCCCCGAATTTGCATTAGCGGATCATATCTAACTGCAGGCGTCGGATTTAGTGCGAGTATAATAGCGTCTATCGTTGCATCAAGTGGACCCTCACGAAGCAAAACGGAGATCAAAATAAGAAGTTGGCATCCCCTTTTCTTGTACAATCAACTGTCATTTTTACATGAAAAGTTCTGTAGTAGTTTTCTGTCTTGCTTGTTACTTCCTTGTACATTAACAACATCAAATTTGTAAGTTGGAACCCTTAATAGCAGCTCTCATTGTACCACTATGCCTATTTGATGATGGTTGTAACATCTGTGTTTTTTTACAGGCTTCAGTGCCTCATTTGGCCACCCTTTCATCACTGGCAGGACTTGTTAATATGGTCCATCCGACCGGACCCACCCTCTCTCGGGCTGAAATATTTAACTTCAACTAGGTTGGTTGGATAATTGGTTTGGTAACTAAAATATTCTAAGTTTGATTCTCTGTAGGGTTGATGTATTGATCTTCTTGGTTTGAGCAAATCAGCTTGGTCTCAAGTTGAAAATTTTAACATCACTTTAGTCAATGCAACTTCAATTAAGTTGGTTGGACAATTAGTTTGGTAACTAAAATATTCTAGGTTTGAATCTCTGTAGGAGCAATCTATTGATCTTTTTGGTTTGAGTTGGTCAGCTTGGTCTTCTTGATTTGAGCCAGTTAGCTATGAATAACCTAAGTTGGCTTACTTGTAATCTACTAATCTTTTGTCGACTAGGATCAAAATGCATGTTTCACCCAAAGCACACATTAGTGGTTGTGGGCTTCCGTGTAAATCAAAGTATTCACATTAATATTAGTTTTGTGTTTCTAAAATAATAAATTAAGTATAATCATCTTTATGTATAGACCAATAATGTGTTAACTGCATGCATATAATATGTGCTTTTAATTTATTTACAGACATATAATTTAATAACTGAAACTACATAATATGTTAATTATAGATATATATTTTTAGATCAAGATCACAATGTGAGGCAGTATATAATTGATATCTCTGACGCTGTTCTGCTTGATATATCCCGCATCATTGTCTAGTATGGTTGGCTCTTTACGTGTTATATATTGTTTTGTAAAACAATGTATCGCTGAAGTCGTTGTAGTATAGTGGTGAGTATTCCCGCCTGTCACGCGGGTGACCCGGGTTCGATCCCCGGCAACGGTGTAATGTTTTGAACAATTTTTGGTTTTAAATTTTCTTGCGTTTCAGATAAACAAACAAAAAATTCTGACCTGCCGGATTCGAACCAGCGACCTAAGGATTTCAGCACGCATATACTCAAACTACAGTCCTCCGCTCTACCAACTGAGCTAAGGTCGGATACATTGTCGATGCCCCAATAAGATTATTAATTCACATATGAAATAGGACTAAGACAAGTAATTTTATTGTGGTTAGAGACTGGAGCTAAACATGACTGCAGTTTGATTCCGTAAAAAATTATATCATGGACCTGGTTCATAAAAATAATACTAATACTATAAATTGTTCATAAAATTACAGTAATATTTTAGGTTCATAAAAATAGCACAAATTTATCAATTACTCCGTATTACTTAAATATATTAATTTTTATTTCTTTTTGTATAAATAAGATCTATAAAAATAACTACTTTAAGATCTTTAAAGCCACACCTATATTCATATATATATTTTTTATAGAGTTAATGCCATGTAGAGTCCTCTGAGTATAGTGGTTTTGCCACGTTTTGTCCTAAGCTTTCAAATTGACCACTATGATCCTTCGACTTTCAAATTGTTACCATTCGTGGTCTAAGTTAACCACCCATAGTCCTTCAACTTTCAAAACTTAACCAGTCATGGTCCTCCTAGAATTGAAGGACCATGGGTCGTTAAAATTTAATAGTTGAAGTACCATGGATTATTAACTTGGACCACAGAGGGTAAAAATTTGAAAGTCGAAGGACCACGGGTGGTCAATTTGAAAATTTATGACTAAATGCGACAAAATCACTATACTCGGAAGACCCCAGATGATATTAGCTCTTTTTTTTTTTTTATATAATATTTCTACAATTCTATGATAAACCTACAAGAGTTTATGAACATGCAATAGTACATAATTTATGAACTCATAATAGTAATTAAATGTAGTGATTTTGTGATGATGACTTTGTGATGGTGACTTTTTTTTTTTATCCAAATGAATATATTCAATAATATTTTAAATATTTGCTCAAAAAATATTAATATTATTTAAACTAAATTTTTAGGTAAACTTAATAGATTATTGGTTCAGATATATTTTTAATTATGTTATATATGCATATAAATTTAGTTTTGATATCAAATGTAAAAATCTTACATATATTAGATTTAAAAGTAAAAATTATATTTATTTCATTTAAATCAAGTATACCCAAAAATATTTTAAAAATAAGGTCTAAAAATTACTCAAAATTACACTTATGTTAATTTTATAATGTTAGTCTAAAAAAATAAATTAAAAAAATGAGTGTTAGTAAACAAGTTTTCTAAACAGAAACATAGAATGCAAAATTAGAAATAGAAAATAGAGAACAATTTCTTGAAATAAACAGATTTTTAGTTTGTATTTTACCTTCTCCATTATGAGTAATATACAATCCTTCACCACTTCTCACATATAAATTAGAGTCAATTCCATAATAAGGTGAAATTTTTAAAATTTTACCTAGATTATGTAGAAAATGAGTCGTGGCATTGAAACCTACATAAAGCATGGTATCTTAATCTTCATTTATTACAAGAGCTTGCAAAGGTTCTTTGGTTTGATAAGAGTGATCAAACCAATTCTAACACTTTAAAGTAGTGTTATTTTGTTTTCCACATATTTAACTAGTCACAACATAGTTTCTTTATTGTGGACATTTAAGAGTTTGGGCCACCACGACATTTCTTGAAGGTGTAATTTTCTTCTATTTGTAAACTTTGAGGTTGGCTTTGATTGGCCGCATAAATAGATCTTCTTCCTTTTGAGTTAAAGTGACCACTTTTATCTCTTCCACATTCATGTCGTAATAAACTTGTTCATGGTTAATTGATTGTTCACTATTTCTTGCTTAAGTTATATCTCTTGCTCATAATTCTACAAGGTAAATTGCTAATATGATAGATATGGTGATTTGGTAAGGATTGCCATATGAAAGTCCTTGTATTTTGCATCGAGACCTCTTGCCAGCTGAAACTCTTTGACAATTTCATCTAGACATTTTGAGTTAATACTGATTTGGTCTCTCGACTATTAGGATTTAACCATTTTGGTCATCGACTTTTAAAATTGTCCAATTACATCCACGACTATGCAATTTCTCACCGAGTTGGTCCTCAACCCAAACTTCCGTTTGATAGACGTTAAAACTAAGGATAAAAATATAATTTCATTGTCTTTGCCTTCTCGGGTGTCTATTTTCTTCTCAGTTGTTCGCTTAGGTTATAGAACAAAGAAAGAAAAAATCCCCAATTCCTAAAAGTTAACCCTAATCGCAAATTATATGACCTAAATGTTGAGAATTCGTCTGAATTTCAACCCAAAATCATAACCCTACAACAGTCTTCTACATAAAGTCAAGTTGGTCACTGTTATTTGTAATGAGTTCAAGTGTGAATTTCAAGTTTGGGCCTGCACTGCAGTCACAAGGGGAGTGGAACAACATCAAAAGGCCGGCCGGGACATCTGCTGATGAAGGCCAAAGGAAAACAAAAGGTATTAGGGCTACCAAACAAGAGAATCATCATGAAGAGAAAGTACTCCACAAGATCAAATATGAAATCTAAGTTTAGTAATATTGAAAAAGACCTAATTTCTTTAGAATGAATAGTGGATGACCTATGTTTTGGATTGTTGGATAGTATGTTGGCTTAGAATGCACTTTTATTTTTTTATTTTATTTTATTTTATTTTTTGCCTATGATGCCAAGCATGACAAGCTATATATTGTGGGCCAGTGGCAAACTTGTGAAAGCTACATATGATCATTTTGTAAAGCCAAATTTGTGGTAATTAATGTGCATTCTGCCAAACTCAGCTATATTTATAGTTTTTTATTCTGCTTTCACTTGGTTTTGCCAAACTTGACCATTTTGTGTATGCTTTGCAATGCTTGACAGTTAACAATACAAACAAATTCAACACATACTAAAGCCATATTCATTACTCCATTTCAAATGCAACAAATTACACCATCCAGCCAAAACAAATAGCTCCGAATTGAAACAAATATCAAAAGATTGAAGTAGTTTAAGTGGTAAGAACATTCGTTGTTAATCATGAGGTCAATAGTTTAAATTTCATTTCAAACAAAAGAAATTATAATATTTTATATAAAAATAAATAAATAAATAAATTATGAGTCTAGCCATAGACCGACCCAGAGTAAGCCCGACATAGATTATCCTGGACCGGTCCTGATCAATGCTAATCTAAGCACTGGTTCAATCCGGACCCTGCACGAGATCGGCCTAGGCTTGAGATTTGGTCACCTCTCAGGGTACCTACAGATGGATGTAAGTTGTCATCACTGATAATAAACTCTAAATTGAAATCTCTAACATTACATCAATTTTTGTTTTTATGAAGTGCAAAGCTAAAGAGCAATAGAATTTACATGCATAGAACACAAGCAAAAAGAAATCTAACTGAAGCACTGATAGTAAGAAAAAGAAAGCAAACTCAACTGCAGCTAGCTATGTGTATCATCACATCATCTTGAACTCCTCATCATCAGTGGGCTTGTGAAGGGTTCCAAGCATCCAGTCCATCCATATCGTGTAGTGCCCGTAGTTATGGCGATACGTGGTGTGATGAACGGTGTGATACGCAGCGCCCATGATCGGCCACACTTTGCCATCGATGCAGTCATGAATGTTTGCAGTCCACACGCCTTCAACGAACAACAGGATTATGTGTGTCATGAGGTGCGTGGGTACGAGGAAGAGAGCAATTACATGCGGCACTGCCTGCAGTATCCCATCTAGTGGGTTGAATGCTAATCCTAGAAAAACACAGGCAAATGAGATGGTATTGTCAGACCAAAAGAACAAGCTCTGATACCATGTTAGAAAAGACTGAATCCAATCAATTAGCTAAGAAAGACAAAACCCTGGTAACAAACAAACAAACAAATAACCAAGATGGCGTTTAGGGAAGTAAACATGGCGTTTCAAGTAGTAAATGTAGAAGCACCAAAGAAAACCGGAGAGCAAATAGAGTAGGGTTCCGCCAATGTAACAGCGGAGGCAGCCCTGCAGGAAGTGAGGGAGGCCGCCCCACACACTTTCCGGCAAGAACGCCCCTAGCACAACCCGGTTGTAAAACGATGTCTCCTCCACGAACAGCTTCAAGTAGTCATCATCCATGGCGGTGGTTGACCGGAGAAGATTGAGACGGACGGGACAAAACAAGTGCAATGGTGAAGACCACGATCGAGGCTGTCTGGTTATGATTCGTCAGTATGTTTTTGTTGCGTGCCTAGGATGATAAGTTCTGCTGCATTTGAGATTACACAAGTCTAATGATCAACAAGTGTTACTTTTCTATGAATACGTACGATGAATGAAACATTATATTTTGAATCACGGACTCTTAATAGCCGTAGCGGTTTTTTGGACCAAAACAACAAAAGTTAGAGCAGATAGCATGTGCAGTTGTTTAAAAAAAAACATCTAATCCAAGAGCGCTCAGCACGCAATATTGGCATGTGCACATTTTTCTAAAACAATATATGCAGTATTATATTTTTATGTATGTATATATATACATACACTTATATTCAAATGCGGCCGGCGCCTTAACATGCGGTCGGTGCGGCCGCTTAAAAAGACACCAATAGTGTTAGAAAAATGCACAAATACACCACAAAACGCACAACGCATCCAAAAAATGCATCATACCTCTCCACACTTAATTGTGCAATTTCGCGCACTGTGTGGTACTTTTATGCATACCTAATGGTGAGTTTTTGTGATGCGTACCTAATGTGTATTTTTTTTGTGCATTTCCTAACATTGTTGGTCCATATTTACATAAGTATTGGTGCAGCTACACTGACCCCGCGTTAAGGCACAAGCGCACTTGAACTAAGGTCTATACACATATATATAAATGTTAGACTAAAATATCACATGCATCACTATAATATGTGATAATAGGATCGACTAACCTCCAGCCATAGTTCTTGATGCGGTTGAGCGATCCGGACTGCTGCAGAGATAACGAGTATTTTGTCTCTCACTTTACTCAACTCTCTCTAGATGGTGTATGAGGTATGTAATGTGAGCAGTGAGAGGACTAGTGACCTTATATAACCACTGGTCATCATTGTGGTTGATTATCTTTAGGTCTCCTAAACCCTAACTAGACTCCTAATCATAATGGTAGTCTAGCTGCTATTAGGTTATTAGTGTTGCACCACATATCAAATAATGAATATTATCATAACTTATCCTAATGTTATAATAATAGTAACGGATAAACGTTACATTCTCCCACTTGGTGCAAGCACTACCACTCAATAACAGAAAAACACCAACCATAATGATATGTTCTCATTAGCGCGAGTAGTATCCATTATGATCAAATGCAAACTGCCATTGAGCACTTAATTAGGAAACAAAACCCAATGAAATAAACCCTATGTTTATTCCAAGTCCCTGAAGTACATTTTCTCATCAATATAAAGCAAATGAAGGTGTACACACTTAATTGAGAAAATGTCTGAATGCCAAAGAATTTTATTAAAACTGAATGTATATATACAAATTACAAATTGGGCGAAAGTCTCATTTTCTGAATCAGATCCTTGAACTTAAATGGTGGCATGCCTTTAGTCAAGGGATCTGCTAACATCAACTCAGTATGAATGTGTTCAATAAATACAACTTTATTTTTTACACGCTCCCTAATTGCTAAGAACTTGATGTCGATGTGCTTAGTTCGACTTCCACTTTTGTCGTTCTTAGCTAGGAAGACTGCAGCTGAGTTGTCACAGTAGACTTTCAATGGCTTAGATATAGAATCCATAATTCTAAGCCCAGAGATAAAATTCTTTAGCCAAACACCCTGTGAAGTAGCCTCGAAACAGGAAACGAACTCGGCTTCCATGGTAGAAGTAGCTATTAAGGACTGTTTAACACTTCTCCATGAGATAGCCCCACTGGCCATAATAAAGGCGCACCCTGAAGTTGATTTCGAGAATCAACACAGCCAGCGAAGTCCGCGTCTGAATAACCGACAACATCTAAGTTGTCCGTCTGCCTAAACCCAAGCTTGTAACCTTTGGTTCCTTTGAGATACCTTAGAACCTTCTTTACAGCTCTCCAATGGTCTAACCCTGGATTGTGTTGGTAACACCCTAGCATTCCAACCGCAAAAGCAATATCCGGCCTCGTACAGACTTGAATATATCCAAGACATCCAACTGCTGCAGCATAAGGGATGTTCTCCATGGATTCCTTCTCCAAATCATTTTCGAACATTGGTCCAAACTGAATCTATCCCCCTTAGATATGGGAGCAGCGTTCGGTGAACAATTTTGCATATGAAATCTCTCTAAAATTTTGTTTATATAGGTTTCTTGAGATAAACCCAGTATACCCGGGACCTATCTCTCTGAATTTTAATGCCAATAACATAAGAGGCATCACCCATATCATTCATATCAAAGTTCTTAGAAAGAAATTGTTTCACATCACGAAGCACCCCCTTACCATTGGTGGCAAGTAAGATGTCATCCACATATAAAACAAGAAAGCAAATTTTACTCCCACTCACCTTCTAGTATATACAGTTATCTGAGGGATTTTCAACAAATCCAAATGAAGAAATTACCCCATCGAATTTGATATACCATTGATGGGAGGCTCGTTTTAAACCGTATATGAATTTCTTAAGCTTACATACTAAATGCTCACCACCCCTAGAAGAGAAATCTTCAGGTTGTTTCATATAAACCTCCTCTTCTAGATCACCATTTAGGAAAGCGGTTTTCACATCCATTTGTTGTAACTCAAGATTGAAATGTGCAACTAATGCCAGAATGACCCGAAGTGAATCTTTCTTTGATACAGGAGAAAATGTCTCCTTGTAATCGATTCCTTCTTTTTGAGTAAATCCCTTGGCAACAAGCCGGACCTTGTATCTCTCAATGTTGCCTAATGAGTTTCTTTTAGTCTTAAAAACCCATTTACAGCCAATGGCCTTGGCCCCATTATGCAACTCAACAAGATCCCAAACTCCATTGTCCTTCATGGAATTCATTTCATCCTTCATGGCTTCTAACCATAAGTCAGACTGTGCACAATTTGTGGCTTGAGAGAATGTTTCAGGATCATTTTCAGCCCCTATGTCAGATTCTTATAGATACGAAACATAATAACTAGGAACTGCTGATCGCCTTATCCGAGTAGACCGTCTTAAGGTTGGACCCTCATCACCTTGTACAGGTTGCGGGGCAACTACCTCTTCAGGAACTGGTGGCAGTTCTTGAATTGGTTCAGTCTGCATCGGCTCAGAATCTTGCTGTATATCCTAAGTTGGTTCAACCATTGGTTCGAAATCTAGTTCAGGCAGTTGCTGTAAGTCCTGAACTGGTTCTTCCAAAGGTTTATCCTCAACAGTTTGTGGAATCTCAACGGTAGGTGGTATATCTGCAGGCAGAACTAAAGGAGCACTGTGGATAAGTACAACCCCACCAGATGACATAGAAGGTCGAGAGTCAGTATGATCGAAGGAAGGAACTAAGTCCTTAAACCGATCACTCCCACTAATCGAGTCATCTTCAAGAAATTTAGCATTCCTTGATTCCACTATCCTAGTAGTATGAGATGGACAATAGAACCTATAACCCTTAGAGGACTGTGCATATCCAATAAAGAAAACACTAATTGTCCTTGGGTCAAGTTTCTTCTCGTGTGGGTTATATATCCTCACCTCAGACGGACATCCCCAAACACGCATATGTTGCAAACCCGGTTTCCAACCTTTGAATAACTCAAACGGTATCTTAGGGACAGCCTTGGTTGTAACACGGTTTAATATATACGTTGCCGTCTTAAGTGCTTCATCCCACAACGACTTCGGAAGCTTAGAGTTGCTAAGCATACTCCACACCATATCCAAAAGGGTCCGGTTTCTTCTTTCAGCTACACCATTTTGGTCCGGAGAACCAGGCATGGTGTATTGGGCAACAATCTCATGCTCTTGAAGAAACTTAGCAAAGGGACCAGGTGCTTTTCCATTCTCAGTATATCTACCATAGTATTCACCCACCCCTATCAGGCCTAACTATGTGTATTTTCCTGTTACATTGGTTTTCAACTTCAGCTTTAAATGATTTAAAGGCATCCAATGCTTCATGTTTATGATGAAGTAAATACACATAAGAAAATCTTGAGAAGTCATCAATAAAGGTGATGAAATATTTCTGACCAGGTATTGTCATATCATGACAACATATCTCAGTATGAAAAATTTCCAACAACGTTGAACTTCTATTGGCACCTTTCTTTGACTTGTTTGTCTGCTTACCCTTAATGCAGTCAATACAAGTCTCAAAGTCAATATAGTCTAGAGTAGAAAGTACTCCATCCTTTACCAACCTTTTAATACGCTCAAGGGAGATATGACCTAATCTCCGATGCCACAACATTGAGGAATTGTCGTTAATACTACATCGTTTGGTGCCGTTTTGAACATGTAAAGAATTGTAAACTGAATCATTCTTTAATTTAAGACGGAAAAGACCATCAGACAATGTACCAGTACCAACACAAGTAGAATAATGAAATAACTTGAAATCATTGGCATTAAATTCAAAAGAATATCCGAAGGGTACAAGTCTAGATACTGAAACTAAGTTCCTAGAAAAACTAGGAACGTAAAAAGTCTTTTCTAACGTCAATACAAAGCCATTGTCCAAAACTAAATTGCAAACTCCGACAACTTTTACTGGTGACGCAATCTTGTTTCCAGAGAAGATGCTACACTCAGTTCCCATTGGCTGTCTCAGTTTTGTCATATCCTGCAAAGAGTTTGCAATGTGGATTGTTGAACCAGAGTCAACCCACTAGGAATTAGTATTAACTTCTGACATGTTAGATTCGAAACAAACAAAAGAAGATGAAATGTTACCTTTTTGGGACATCCATTTCTGAAACTTGATACAATCTTTCTTCATGTGTCCCTTCTTTTTGCAAAAGAAACACTTTTGTATCTTCTTAATGTCTGCTTTAGGGGTTAGTTTTCCCTTAGCAGCCATGGTAAGTTCCTTAGGCTTTCCAGACTTTCTTTTAGGCCTTGTTGTGGCCATTAAAGCACTTTTCCCTAGCTCAGTTACAAGCCGTGTTTCCTCTTGAGTACACATGGTAATCAATTCATTGATAGATATGTGTATTATAGGCAATTTTAAATGCATTATAGTCCTGAGATAGGGTATTTAGTGCAAAGTGCACCACAAAGGCATCTGGAAGAATAATCTTCAACTTCTTCAATTGAGCCGCAATGTCCCTGAGCTGTATGATGTGTTTCCGCGTTCCCTTGACAGTGGAAAGACGCATATTGATAAACTGCATTATCAGGGTACTTGCCTGAGATTTGTTCGCGTCAACAAATTGATCATTGATGGCCTTGAGTAATGGCTTAATGTCCTCAATATCATCGACGAGACCACGAATCTCTCTGACAATTTTGGACTTAATGAGGAATAAGCCCAAGCGATTGGCTGTTGCCCATCGCTCGTATAACGTTTTTTGTTCCTCAGTGCTTTCCGCAGTAAGCTCAGCAGGCTTCTCATTGCGAAGAGCATAATCAAACCCTAATATTCCTAAATTCAATAAAACAACGTCTTTCCACTCTTTGTGATTATCATAATTAAGGATATGAATATCAATTGTTATTGATTGAGTGATTGGAAGAGTGACTGTAAAAAGAAAATTGAAGCTTGGTTAGAATTTAATTTTTTTTGTTTGTTTCTTAATGCGGAATAAACCAAATTTCCAGCAGCCCAGACAATTTAATTGCGAACAAATATTTAAATATGTATCTCAATTATACAAAGTATACAACATATTCAAAAAAATATATGCAATTAAAAAGAACTAGGCAGAGATTATTTATGGCGACTGATACCAACTGTTAGACTAAAATATCACATGCATCACTATAATATGTTATAATAGGATCGACTAACCTCCAGCCATAGTTCTTGATGCGGTTGAGCGATCCGGACTGCTGCAGAGATAACGAGTATTTCGTCTCCCACTTTACTCAACTCTCTCTAGATGGTGTTTGAGGTATGTAATGTGAGCAGTGAGAGGACTAGTGACCTTATATAACCACTGGCCATCATTGTGGTTGATTGTCTTTAGGTCTCCTAAACCCTAACTAGACTCCTAATCATAATGGTAGTCTAGCTATTAGGTTATTAGTGTTGCACCACATATCAAATACTGAATATTATCATAACTTATCATAATGTTATAATAATAGTAACGGATAAACGTTACAATAAATGCATACATTGTCCAGAAAGAAATAACTGAGTTAATTAGCATGATTCTCGTATCTGAATGTCACAAGTTTAACTCTTATCAATATCATATTGGTTGAGCCTATCGCACAGAATTTCCTAGTGCGATTTACCTCTATGGACTATTATACATTATTGATTTACCTTTTATGTGGTTTTTGAATTATTTTTAGAGATGACAATGGGTCAGGGTGGGTCGAGGAGTGCTACATGTATCACTTGACCCACCTTATATTTTCTCTACCCACCCCACCCCACCAGGTGCGGATGCCCACTTCGGGTACCTACCTAGGGATGGCAATGGGTCGGGAGTGGGTTGGGAAAAGCTACATCCATCACCTGACCCAACTTATATTTTCTCCACCGACCGGGATGAGAGGGCCTACTACGGGTACCCACCACTTATCATCTTATTATTTTCTCAAAAAATAATATTTAAATTACCTATATATAATAAAATAATAAAATTCATTAGTTATACTAAAATATAAAATAATATAAATATTCAAATATAATAACTAAATTGTTAAAAAAAAAAAAAACTAAATTGTTAATAGCCAAGCACCCTGTGCTCAGATGGCATGTAGTAAAAACTAAAAAGTATGTATGAATAGATACTACAATGTAATAGAGTCAGTAGCTTTCAAAAAAAAATATTAATTTTCAAAAATAAACTTAGTAGTATGTTTAGATATAAAAATAGTAAGAAATTATCCAAAGTTATTGAAACTTTTATAAATAACTATATACTAGTACTACTTATTTTACTATTCTATATATATACACACATATGGTGGGTAGTAGGTGGAGTGGGGTTCTAGACGGGTTTTGTACATAGAACCCGAATCCAAGCGGGTTTACTATTTTAAGACCCACCCCAATCCACCACCCACTACTACGCAAAAAAAAAAAAAAAAAAAAAAAAAAAAAAAAAAACCTCGACCCATGCGGGGTGAATATCCACAAGACGGATTGAAATTATCATCCCTAATTATTATACATAATTTATTCAGTACACACTCAGATAGTGATTTGTGGATTTTTCTCGTAATCACGTCACCCTAATAATAATTATTATTATTAAAAAAAATACATACATTCAAAAGTTCTATGATGTATGTCTCGTGCTAATGCAGGCTTGGTGGGGGTGGTTTAATAGTGGTTTATGGAATCTTGTGAGCAAATCTATCTTCCTCACATGACATAACTTTGTGGTTTTGTCAATTCCTACTTGAATTGCCCTGATCTACTTTGTAATTAACACTGCATGCTAATTAGTAATTTAATGTTAACAATGTTACGTTCACACACAGTCAAAATGATTAATGATTAAACTAGTAACAATTTGTAATACATACCTATTTAAATGTGAAAAATGAAAACTGTCCTCATGCATGTTGTATGTCCTGATTTTATTGAAATAAAAAGAAGTCAACTCAAATAAAATATCTTCATCATGATTTACTTTTTATTTGAATCAATCAGAGTATGCAATGCAATGTCAAGGAGTAAAAGAAATTGATATATATGGACATACACTAAGTTACAAAGTAAAACTCGTTTCACACGTGACTTTTTATTGTCCAAGTTAAATCATAATTAACACGCTGTGTAAGTATGGAGCTAAGTAAAAAATAGTAGAATTTGAAAATATATGTAGTATTACTCAGAGAAGTAAAAAAATAATAATAATAATAATAATAATAAGTAAAAAATAGAAATATGTACTCAGTATATCTAGAAAAGAAAAAAAATTCTTGTGTTATTAGATTTGGAGTTTTGGAGCAAGGCGCAACAATGCCCCGGAGGTATTGGGCAAGAATTTCCTAGCAAACAGGAAACAAATTCTTGTGTTATTCCCGTTATACACACACTCCTCTCCTCCAAATCGAATGTTATCCAACACATCCAGGTTTACATCAATCCATCCCAATCCCCTCGGATGCGGCCCGCCGAGAGACCAGTCAACCCAGGTGACGCTGCGATTCGAGGTCGCGTCCGGCCACAGAATGTTCACCAACGTCGGCAAGTAATGCTCGTCGCTGTAACACATGTGCGGAATGCAATGGTCGCGGAAGACGGGGTAATATATCTGGTCGGACACGATTTTCGCGGCGAGGTCGCGGCGGATCTCGAACCACTGGGAGCCTTTCCGCCACTGCTGGACGGTGATGGTGGGGGCCATGCGGGGGTTGTAGCGGCCGCGGGCGGCTTTGCTAGGATCGTCGTAGGATTGCAGGAAGCTTAGGGTTGAGGCCATGAGATAGTTGTAGGTTGTGGTGAAGTTGAAGAGAGGAATGCATGAATCGGAGAGCAGCACGAATCTCTGGTTGGAGAGATCGAGTAGGGCGTTTGCTAGGAGTCTTCTTTCTGCGTCGATCATCGATATACTTCCCCAAGACACAGCCTGCATGCATGCAATATCTCAATTACACAGGTTTGATGATTCAATTAAAAAAAAAAAAAAAAAAGTGTAATATGGGTAAGTACACTGTTGAAAATTATGGAAATTATGAAATTTCTGCTTGCTATTTCTGACGACTTTTTGCGATCACTTTCAGGTGATCGGAAAAAGTGATCGCAAATTTCATAATTTCCAGCAGTGGTAGTACGTTCTAACCTGGCTGGGGATTCTTCTACCGAAGAAGACAGAGGTTTCTGGGAAAGAATGATTATAAGAAGGGTGTGCGTGGATATATATGGAGAAAAGATGTTGATGGCCCTGGAAGAACTTCTCCCAGAAAGGTGCAAGCGGAAGGGGTCCTGGGGTCAAGAACATAAACGCCACCTTTGCAACATCCTTAAATGTTTTTGCCGCTGATGACGACGATAGGGCGGCGGCTAACCGTAGCAGCTCGTCATCCGTCATGTTGTGCGGCTCCAAGGGCGGAGGAGGAGGAGGATCGGAGGAGTTTGTGGGTGGTGATGATGAGAGTGAGGAAGTGGAGACGACGGAAAAAATGGAGGGGAATGAGAAGGTGTTGAAGCGGTATGAAGTGATGATGATACCCACTGATAAGCCAAACAGGAAGGGAAGAAGAAATCTATGCACAAATATGGAAAGAGATTTGGACGCCATTATTGGCTATAGAGATTGCTACGCATGAACCGGACATAGAGATTGCTAAAGAGAGATAAATATATAAATTCTTTCCTTTCCATGCATGGAAAATTAAACTTGAAGCGTAAGCTATGGAAGCCAGGCTACTATACGCTGCATGCATGTGTGCCTGCATTTTTCAGTAGCTTCCTAGCTAATTTATAAACCATCCAGTTGAAGTTGACAAATAATATATATATATATATATATATATATATATATATATAATTCAGTTCCCATGCGACTGGTGCAAGGACGGAGCCAAATAAGGCTATGGACTCGTAACGAGAAATGGCTAGAACTCTTTGTGTATTTTTTTATTCTCTTTTAGCAACTTGACTTGCCCCCACCCCCTCCCCCCTACATTCTCCGAAGGGTCCCTTTTATAGTGGGTCACCCTCGTTAATTTAAATGTGTACATCAAATTTCCATAAAGTGGCCTTATTACACCTAGGGACCGTTGAACTGTCGTTACTGGACTTTCCAACAACCTGTTTGACCAGGCCATGAAGGGGGCTCCTAAATGCCAACGGCTATATATCTTGCCGAGCCGGCTCCTTGCTCGTGCCGACTTCCTACTCGCGCTAACTCCCTGCTCGTGCCGACCTTCTGGACTTTTCCCACGGCCATCTCTTGGGCGCCTTTCTGGTCTTTTAATGGGCCCACTCTTTTATTTCATCCCGCCTCTTCCCTTCTTCGGGCCCTAGGCCCATTGGGTCCGTACCCATCAGGTAATTTTTGCATCTAGGTCAAATTTAAGGTGCGTGTTTTTTTTGTATAAGATGCGTGGTTTGTGTGCTTAAGGTGAGTAGTTGTTGAAACTTAAGGTTCGTTAACCTGAAGCTGTGCGTGGTTTTCCTTCTTAAGATGCATGAGTTGTTTGAAACTTAAAGTGCACCATTTTAAAACCTTAGGTGCGTAGTTTGTGTACTTAAGGTGTGTCGGCCTAAAGCTTTAGATGCGTGTGGTTTGTATTTGCTTAAGGTGCGTGATTTGCGGTTTGTATTTGCTTAAGGTTGTGCGTCACAGGAAGTCCCTATATAGTCATTGTTATTGTTTGGTTAACAGGTTTCTAGAGCACTACCAATTATAAAATAAGGGTTTCATTTTTGTTTATATTGGTGCTTTAATTTGGATGTCTTTTTTTTTTTTTTTTTTTTTTTTTTTTTTTTTTTTTACTATTATAAGGGAATGGGATACCCCCACATATACAAACTACCTTTTTTTTGTTTATATTGGTGCTTTAATTTGGATGTCTTTTTTTCTATTATAAGGGAATGGGATACCCCCACATATACAAACTACTTTTTTTTTTTTTTGTTTATATTGGTGCTTTAATTTGGATGTTTTTTTTTTTTCTATTATAAGGGGATGGGATACCCACATATACAAACTATTACATCAAATATCACCATAATCGCCTCCATCGAGGCTAGAACCCACCAAGGGAGCAACTTGGTACCATTAGACCACAAGGTCCTTGGTAATTTGGATGTCTTTATATTAGAATAAATTGTCTTGATTTTTTGTTCTTGTATTTTTAAAACATTTATTCCCATTATAGGATCATACTTCCATTGGTAATCATTCCAATTCCACCTTACTGCCAAACATGCAAAATACTTTCACAAAAATGGTAAAACTCATTACTATTACCAATTCAAGTATTTGATTCTCATTCCAATTCTGATTTTTATGTGCGAACCAAACACACCCAAAACGGCAAAACTCATTACCATTACGAAGTATTTGATTCACATTCTGATTCTGATTCTGATTTTCATGTGCGAACCAAACACACCCAAAACGGCAAAACTCATTACCATTACGAAGTATTTGATTCACATTCTGATTCTGATTTTCATGTGCGAACCAAACACACCCTTATTGATGCACTCACCATGCATAATCAAACTCAACCCAAATAGCCTAAGGTCTTTGTTACATCTCATAGGCATAGACATACCCAAGGGCCCAAACACAATTATTGTGGCTCTGTTTGGCAAACCTAGCTGAAAAGCTATAAGTTAGGAGCTGAAAGCTGAAAAGGAGTTGAAAGCTGAAAAGCTATAAGCTCGGAGCTGAAAACTGAAGAACTGTTAAGATAGTTGTTATAATTGAAAATGTTTGGTAAACTTAGCTTTTTGATAAGCTGATAAATGTAAAAAAGACTAAAAATGACATCTTCATAAATTTTAAATTAGTTTGTTTACATTTTAAAATTTAACATTTTGTCTTTAAAAAAAACATTTTGAAATAAAACTATTAGCATAATCATGATCTAGCATCTCATAATGAAATAACAATATTGTTGTAAATCTAATAATAATAATAATAATAATAATAATAATAATAATAATAATAATAATAATAATAATAATATTTACGGTGAAAGTTGCGGATAAAAGAAATTAAAAGAGAAAAGGGTTTTAATTGGAAAGGGTAAATTATGTCATTTCTATAAAATAATAAGGAAAAAGATGAAAAAAAAAAAAAGTTAGGAAGCTAGGAGCTTATTTTGAAACGTTACATATGGTAGCGATTCAAAATAAGTTTTTATTTTAAGCCATGAGCCTATTTTGAGAACATTACCAAATAGAGCTTATAATTTATTAGTAACTTAAAATAAGTTATAAGGTTCTAAATAAGTTCTGCCAAACTTTTTGAATACGTTACTATTATTATTATTATTATTAGTATTATTATATCCAAGTTATGTTGAGTTTTTGACATCCTAGATTCCTAGGGGGCGGGTATTACGCTGCACCTTCGCCTAGAATTTAGGGAAGCTACCGCTACCTCACTCCATCTCGTCTTACATCCATCATGTTCCCCCTTCTCTTCTTTATGCCTATGGATGTTTGCCAGGATTAACTTTAACATCGTGTTTGATTAGGATGATAGAATTAGTGATAAGGAAATGAATTATAATTTTGTATAAGAATAATGAAAGAATAAAATAGAAATTTAAATTACAAAAAGAAGTGATATAAAAATTAAATGTAATAATAATAATAATAATAATAATAATAATTTTTTTATTTTTTTTTGCTGTTGAATTCTAATTCATAGGAGGCAACTTTGAATTTTAATTTAATAAATAAAAAATATTATAATTCCATTCCTCTAACTAAATAATGTAGTTTTCATGACTGCTAAATAACATTAGAATAGAATTATAATTACTGATTTACTGCCAACAAAGTACATTGTAAAAGGGTGTTTCTTTGGAATGGTCAGCTTTAACTCTAAAGTTGACTTTGACTTTAGACTGGTCAGCTTTAACTTTAAAGTTGACTTTGACTTTTCTTTCTTTTTTTTAAAAAAAAAAAACCCTTTTCTTTCTTTCTTTCTTTTTTCTTTTCTTTTTTTTTTTTTAAATATTCCTTCTTTACAATGTAGTATTTGTTTTAATTTTTGCGGCTAAACACTCAATGTCTCTACCATAGTCTGATTTTGTGATCTTTTATTTGGAATGATAACAAAAACGCCATATGTTCTATATTCCTATACTTTTCTTTCTTCTTCTTTTAATATTCAATTTAGATTTACAAAAATGATAGCGCGAAAATTGAAACAAGAATCGGACAACAAAATGCTACAAATAAGTGTCTTGATTGTCGGCGAGCGTTAAGAGCATCCCTATTTGTGATTTTTTCACAGTTTTTTTAGGAGAACATGACTTATGTGGATGAGAGAAAAGGAGGAGATAAAAGTTTGTGTCTTCCTACAAGAATGGTTTTTTTGTGGGGCCCGTCAGAAGAGAGAAAAGGGAAAAGAGAAGCGCACTCACGTGCGTGGCATGCAGTGCACACGCCTGCTATTGCGTCCGCTGCTTTGTTTTTTTTTTTTTTTTTTTCACGTTGCTTTTAAATTTTTTTTTTTCTTTTTCATTATTCTCTCTCCCTTTCCCCATCTTTCTCAATTGGCACTTCAAAAAAAAAAAAAAAAAAAAAAAAAAAAAAAAAAAACTACAATCAACCACTCTTGTTGTCAATAGCAGTGGATGGCAATAATTTTTAGTACCCATTTATATGTGAAAAATGAAAATCTTTCCCGTGTTGTATGTCTTGATTTTATTGAAACAAAGAGAATTCAGGATCAAATAAAATTTTAGGAGTGTGATTTACTCTATATTTTGATCAATTAATTAAAGTATGTAATGCAATGTCAATGAATAAATAATTGAGTAAAAAGTATAAATATGTACTCACAGTATATATCTAAAGAGGAAAAAAAAAAAATGTGTCCTAAAAGGAGTACGTGATTGATTGGATAAAGCATAATTTTCGTATTTGAAAATTATAGGAGGATGTGAGTATGTGACAATACTATTTGAACGGTGCAATTTAACAAAGGCTACTGCCTGAGGATTTGAACAATGCAATTTAACAAAAGCTACTACCCGAGGATTTGAATAATGCAATTTCACAAAGGCTACTACCGAGGATTTGAACAGTACAATTTAACAAAGGCTACTGCCTGAGGATTTAAACAATGCAATTTAACAAAGGCTACTACCTGAGGATTTAAACAGTACAATTTAACAAAGGATACTATTCGAAGGTGTGCAAGTTCCACCCATTTGACCACCTATTATGTGACAAATTCTACTCTCTTTTTTTTTTTTTTTTTTTTTTTTTTTTTTTTTTTTTTTGTGACAAGGGAAACACGTACAATAGCTTGCCTCTATCTATATTAAGTATGTAAATCCCAACTTGTGACTTTAATGATAGAAGAGCACAAAAAAAGTAATCCAATTTAGAAAACATGTAGAACATGGATCGATCTATTGCTTTGAACACATGCAAAGTACATGGATTGATTAAAAACTATAGATTTCATTGTAACTAGGGAAATATATTAGAAAATTTTCAAGGTGCCAACTATTGACACTATGTTAATTTTATTCAGTACAACTGATGTACTCAATATGTACTGTTGTACTAAACATAAATTAAAATGAGAAAAATACTACATATACTCTTTCACAAATCTTTGATGCAGATACTTTTTCTATAATTACATGATGAAAATATCATATTCTTATTTGTCAGTTAAAGTGAGGGAATAAAATTTGGGAGTCCATATACCAGAACTCTTAAAATGGTGTCAATTGATACAATAGAAATTTTCGAGTACCTGATGTTATACTATGTTAAGCAATACAAGTAATTACGTTCGGAGTTTTGGACTGTATATAGAAGGAAGAAAGAAAGGATTAAGCTAGCAGCGATGGAGCAAGGCGCAACAATGGGCCGGAGGTATTGGGCAAGAATTTCCTAGCAAACAGGAAACAGATTCTTGTGGGATTCCCGCTATACACACACTCTTTTCCTCCAAATCGAATCTTATCCAACACTTCCAGTTTTACATCAATCCATCCGAATTTCCTCGGATGCGAGCCGGCGCGAGACCAGTCAACCCAGGTGACGCTGCGATTCGAGGTCGCGTCCGGCCACAGAATGTTCACCAACGTCGGCAAGTAATGCTCGTCGCTGTAACACGGCGGAAGGCAATGGTCGCGGAAGACGGCGTAATATTTCTTGTCGGACACGATTTTCGCCGCGAGATCCCGGCGAATCTCGAACCACTGGGAGCCTTTCCGCCACTGCTGGACGGTGATGGCGGGGGACATGCGGCGGCTGTAGCGGCCGCGGCCGGGTTTGCGGGGATCGTCGTAGGATTGCAGGAAGCTTAGGGTTGAGGCCATGAGATAGTGGTAGGTTGTGGTGAAGTTGAAGAGAGGAATGCATGAATCGGAGAGCAGCACGAATCTTTGGTTGGAGAGATCGAGTAGGGCGTTGGCTAAGAGTCTTCTTTCTGCTTCGATCATCGATATAGTTCCCCAAAACACAGCCTGCATGCATGAATAATGCATCCATCATTATTATACACTTATAGTGGCACAGACAATTTTAGCGTCTTTCTTATGAATCAAAAAGAGTTTAATATGGGTAAGTAGTGCTAACCTTGCTGGGGATTCTTCTGCCGTAGAAGACAGAGGTATCTGGAAAAGATTGATTATAAGAAGGGTGTGTGTGGATATATATGGAGAAAAGATGTTGATGACCCTCGAAGAACTTCTCCCACAAAGGCGCAAGCGGTAGAGGACCTGGTGTCAAGAACATAAACGCCACCTTTGCTACATCCTTAAATGTTTTCGCCGCTGACGACGATGTGGCGGCGGCTAACCGTAGCAGCTCGTCATCCGTCATGTTGTGCGGCTCCAGAGACTTCTTTTCGTCTAGTTTCTTAGTAGCATTTAAGGGCAGCAGCGGAGGAGGAGGACTTTGTGGCAATGACAATGACGACCGAGTTGAAATGGGAAAAATGGAGGCCGGAACGGTGAAGGGGAATGATGAGAAGTTGTTGAGGCGGTATGAAGTGGAGATGATACCGACGGATAAGCCAATCATGAAGAGAAGAAAGCTATGCACAAATATGGAAAGAGATTTGGACGCCATTGTTAGATAGAGATGAGATGAATGGTTTGATGTAATATTGCGCTACATAAGTTTGCTATATTTACATGGAGCGGGAGCTAAAGCTAGGCTGCGTTGCATTTTTCGATTTTCAGTGGCTGCCTGCCAAACTACATACCACAGTTAACCTACTTACGGTGGGAATTGAACCGTAGTTGAGTAAGTTGAGAACTAGCATCTCATCTAGACCGTCCAATTTTGGAAATTGTCTTCGAAGATTCTGCAGGTCAAGGTCATGGCGTTATCACCGGCATAATTGTAATTGGATATCACCCTAACTACACGGACTGCCAAAAGTTTTACTAATTTATTATTATTATTTAGGTAATGACTAATTACAAGTGGTGATGCTGATATGCCCACTCTTGGACTACCTCACTCCATCTCTGTCTTACATTCATTTGCCAGAATTTTTTCAAGGGGTGTTTCTTTGGAATAGTCGGCTTTGACTTCAAAATTGACTTTGAAGTGCTCTTGGGGCTACAATCTAGTGTCGCAAATTACGCATGATTTGGAAAACTATGTTTTATTTAATACGGAGTACTCAATCTAGTCTAAGATTATTTAAAAAAAAAAAAATTTGATAACCGGAAAATTGAAACAAGAATCGGACAGCAAAATGCCACAGCCCACAGATCAGTGTCGTCCAGCGTTACGACAATCTGTCAAGAGTTATAGATACGAGACGCTAATTACAAGCAGGAATAAACACAACTGCAAAATGGTTGGGGTTAAACACTTACCGGAAAGCTTTCACTAATCCAATCCCTCCTCCACTCCACCACTTCCTTGCAGCTCTCTCTTAACTTATTCTTTCATTCAAACGGCAGGACTAAGAGCACGCTCAATCTCCTCAAGTGATCGACCCTTGGTCTCAACCACATTAGCACCTATGTACATTACTGCAAGAATACATGCGGTTGCAAACCCCAGGTACACCGTGCTGATTCCAAATTTATTAACAATGCTCAGGAAGTAGAGCCCAATCGCAAAATTTAATATCTGTCAAACAACACAATATCGAATGAGTTTGAAACCAAAACTTGCATTTATCATTCGAGCTTTACTTTTCCCTATTCTACCAAAATCAACTAACTAGTTAATCAATGTGTGAGTTGAGATATTTTGTGAAAGATAAATGTTAACACAATGATGTCAAATTTGACTTTTTTCCTTCCTGTATGTTTGCACCTACATAGAATATTTTGCCGCAAAAGTAACGGAATCCCAAAACAATGCTCAGATGCTTGTAAATTTTAGCATTAAACTATGTCTCATTAAGAATGACAATGAGACAATCTGTTTGTGGGTTAATTAAATCCTCTAGGTGATTGGGTCCTGAGCTAAAGGGGAGAAAGCAAATGAAGCTGCAAATTAAAATTTACACAAAAGTACAATATATTCAATTGACTTACCCAATGCGTTCCCAAGGACAATGCCATTGCTTTCGCCCTAATTCTAGAGGCAAATATTTCGGGAAGTAAAAGAGCAGGCACAGGACCAGCGCCAAGAGAAAAGGATAACACATAACTGCATTATTGAAAACAATCATATATCACAGACAGACCAGGCCTCTTAACTAATGAAAAATAGTGCTTTTGAGCATAAAGATGAACTCTGTGGAAGGGAAATACTTACAGAACAGTACCAACGACAGCAAGTGTGCCAGAATATGGTGCCAATGCCTTCCATGTAAACGACAGGGAAAGCAATAGCATTGATGCAGCCTTCAGAAAGAAAATTTCAAGTACATAGAAAACTAAATGAGCGAAAAAAAACTCAGAAAATATATAAAACTTATGCAAGAAAGAGAAGTGCTAAAAGGTTTGCTAAGTTCACCATAATTTACTGCATGTATTATACAGACAATTATCAGAGAACAAGCACAACCACAGAGATCATGTCATTTTGTTATAGTGTGTTAAGAACAGAGCAATTATTATTTCAACAGCCAAAGTCAATTTACTCTCAACAATTAGAGCCTTAGGTAGCCAACAAACAGAATATCAACTTCCAAAAGAAGTCACCACTAGGTTAACCCAAATAGATAGTGCTGCTATAATTGCCTTTGACAGCTATAGTAAAAGGCTCTGACTGAAAATTACTCTGAGCATTTTAAGTCCAATTCTTTCCAGGAAAAAAAAAATGACAATATTCTGAATGTTCTAAATGTGAAAACATTACCATTCCAGAAAAGCTTGTAAGCAAAAGACTCTTTCTTCCCATCTTATCCATCAAAGAGGATGCAACAATTGTGCCTGGAAGGAAATTAAACTTTGCCCAATGAATCATGCTAACTACAAAGATCTGTTTTGAAATATCTCCTTTAAAACTTCAGAAGACTAACCAAACACATTGGATGCTCCAACCAAAGCACTCGCTGCAACATCGGATGTAATTCCAGCACTTCGAAACACAGAAGTAGAATAGTATACAACAGCATTAATCCCAGCCAACTGTTGGAAGAAAAACAATGCTGCACCAACACTGACAACTGCACATATACAAAGCACTTAGAAAATTACTGGCAGTGCAGAGAAGGTCAATGAAGAAGCCATGCTTATAAGTTATAAAGATGGATGTTAAATAGTGTTATCAAGCCATGAACCACAATTTTAGATTAAAAAAAATATGCATATTCATATAAAATGCACAAATGCAAAGATGCAATATATATTCAGTTTTTCACTTCGACCTATCAAAATACAACTCCATCCATGCTACTAGCAACAAGGCAATGCATATTACAAGCCTCATACTTCAACATAAATGATCACAAGAGCAGTATTAAAAAGATGTGTATGAGAACACCAGTCATCCATAAGCATAAGACTGTTATCCTACAGCTTGATGAAAAACAAATACCTTTCCAATAACGCCTACTAAAAAGATCAAACCACCCAGCTTCTGGTTCTGAAGAGCCTTGAGCGGCTGTATTGAAATCATTCATTATCTCAGCAACCCTTTCTTTTCCATAAAGTCTTCTTATTGCTGTTTCGGCTTCAGTGATTTTTCCTTGCTGCAATAGAAAGGTGCCTAATTTAGTATAACTATGAGCTAGCTAATGATTATTAAATGATCACATAGGAAATGAATACAGCATGCTGAAGATCATATAAAAGTCTGACATTATGCATGGCCTAATATCTAGCAAAGAAAACCTGATAAAGCCACCGGGGACTTTCAGGAGAAAAGGCCATTCCAAGTGCAAGTAAAACAGATGGAATAATAGCAATACCAAACATTGTCCTCCACCTGCAAATGAGAAAAGAGCAAGGGATAAATAAGCATGAGTAAGAGAAAATTGTATTGTGCTAATAACTCAGAGGATAAGCAACTGATATCCCAAGCATAACACAAATTTTTCCAGACAGTCAGGAATTACCAGTTCAATGCCTTATTAGGAATGAAGTGAGAATGAGTTATTTCTTCATATCTTCAGAAGGATCCAAGGAATAGGTGGAATTTTTAAATAAGATTAAATATCAACTATTGAAACTGGTTGATGCATGATAAATTCCAAATCTGACAATTTTGAAGGGAAGAGATGTACACATGACATAACATCTTCTTTCTGATGCTACTAGTCAAAGTAAGACGTCAGGCAAGCAATTAATACCTTTCCCTGGTCTGTCACAATGGCAACAAAGGTGTCTAATTTGACGTCTGAACTTCTGATAAGCAAAAACGCAAGGGAAAAAGCATCTTTTAAGGCAGTTAATATTATATTGCTCCTGAGTAAGTGCTAAGATCTTCCAGCTAGAACAACAGTTATCATTTAGATAACCAACTTTGGCAACTTACAAATCTTCTAGAAACTTTGCTAATGACATTTCAAAATAAATTGATTTTTGGGATCTTGGTGATATGTTAGATCAAGAGCCTATGACATATTTAGTTGCTAAAAAATTAAATGGAGAAACACATCCCCAACTAGATTGTGGAGTAAAACAGTGTACTTGAGTTGTGTAGTTGAAATCAAGTTGAGCTGAGTTTATTATGATGTATTCTTCTAAGCATATCAAAGAAGAATTACCACAAAGGATTTCCAGCTAAAGGCAATCCTGCAACAAGTGCTGCAAGAATCCCAACACAAATAAACAACTGGTTGACAGATCCAAGTGTACCACGGATTTCAGTTGGTGAGATCTACAAACAGAGCATTTGTCAGTTGAATAATGATATGAATTTTTAAAAATAAATCAAATTCATATGCATGAAGAGGTTGAGGTTTTACACCTCAGATATATAAAGAGGAACAATAGCAGAAGAGATGCCAACTCCTATTCCAACAAGTAAGCGGCCAATGATCATTGTTTCAACACTCTGAGCTGTGGCACTAGAAAATTTTAAGACCATAATGAGGCACTGAAACTAATGCCAAGAATAAGGCTTGTATATAATCACCATTCATTAATGCTAAGGAAAATACCATAGAAAAGCACCAATTGTTAGCGGAATTGCATCCAAAATAAATGACTTTGTTCTGCCAAATTTATCGGCCAATGTTCCCCCAGTAAATGAACCTACAGTGGCACCAGCAAGAGTTGAACTAACAATCCATCCTGTCAAGAACATGACAAACAAATATTTTGTTACCCTTGCTTGTAGCAAATCTAACATTCGAAAAGCCTATGAAGGTTAATCATTCTCCTAAAAAATCTAAATACTGCATATTCTGGAGAAGGTAGTATAAGGGATCAGAGTGAACAATAAATGAGCCCTGTCCAGGTTGAAGTTTAGTATGAAACATTTGTGACTGAACAGTGAACTTATTTTCATAAGCCACTTGATCAAGAAGACTTGCCTTGTACCACAGTATTCTCAACAATACCAAGATCCTGGGCCACATACTCCAAAGCACCATTCACCACACTGCACCATGCAGATAAGAGAGTTTTTAGAAGAAAGGGGGAAGAAAAAAAAAAAAAAAAAAAAAGAGGAAACAAGCAAATCTAAGATACTATTAACTTTTGTGATGTTTTGCTGCATTACCATCAAACTGATCGAGTTATAGAACCAAAAGGCATTATCATTATCATATATGCATTATATGTACATGAAGACATCTAAGAGAAGACAGTAACAAATGTGATGATGTAGATACAAATAAACAGTAAAGGAATAATAAGGGTGATACCCTAGATGATATCCAAACAGAATTGCTGCCAAACAAGCAACACCAACATATGGCAACACTGAACCTGATGATTTCCCATTCCCTTTGAGGGGTGCAACTGCTTCAATATCTCCTTCTGTTATTCAGGATCATAGATTATAAGCAACTTTAACATTGACATGTTAAAAACAAAAATACAGTACTTTATTAACTCAAAAAGTATATGATCATCTTAGGAGCAATTTGGTAAGCCATTTGGAAAGTAAAGCAAAACAAGGGCAACAAACAATGTGCAAGGCTCTCACATCAAAAGTAAAGCCAGTGCACCAAAATTTACTTCTTATTGGCAATCATGGAGTCACCCAAATAGTTATTGCTCTAGATTGAATTTCTGGCATTAACATGGGTAATTTAAAAATAAGATGTGAAGAAACAATCATAGGATATGCAAGTATATGGTCCTCCTCTCAGATTTCCCATCTGAAGAAATTTTTTTTTTTTATAAAAAAAAAAATAAAGGTAGTGATATCATCAATGCATACACTAATCATCATAATTCGACTGAGGAAGTTAAGCTAGTGACCTTGAGACATATCAGAATTGGTCACTATAAAAAGTAGATCAAGGAAATTTCACCACTAATTTTGTTGAGTAAATCAATTTACAATAGAGGGATCAATCACAAACCAGAAGCGCTAGCTCTGATCGACCTGGGCTTGGCCGACTCCCCAAACAGACTCGGTACCCTTGCTCGAGGGCGGCCTAGCTCGATTCCCATGGAAGCCGAGCCGAGCTTTAATCCGAAACAACCACTCCTCTCTGTCATGCGGAGATTGCTACAGGCCAAAATCCTCCTACTATTGACGTTTTTAGATCTTTCAAAACCTCGACGGCGAGTCTGAAGCCCAAATCCAGTGTCGGCTCTGACTGCATACGTTGAAGCTTGCATCTTCAGAGTCTCACCTGTCAACGGTAGTAAATACATTACCAAAACGTCAACAAAGCAGTAAAAAAAAAAAAAAAAAAACAAAAAGCAAATATTAAAGGTAGCGTAAGAACAAACAATACATCCTCCAAGGCTCCAATGATCCTACTCAGAGACAACATGCAACACCTCATTTACAAGCACAAGTTATAGTACAGATTTTTTAACAACATCAACGGAAAATCGGCACAAATTCGAAACAAAATGAAACGGTGAAAGAAAAAAAAAAAGATCCAAACGGAGAAGCGACGAAATTGGAGATTTAAACACGCAGTACTGGAATTTAAGTGAATCTGTGAGCGGAATATACCTAGCGGAGAGTTGATGACGACGACAGAACTCAACATCCAAACGCGATTGGAGCTTCGTGCTAATGAGCTCTTGAGCTTGAACTGCTCTGCTTATGTGTCGGCTAATTGTGAGAAGAATAAACAGCTGAGAGAGTGGCTTTGGACGGTCCGTCGGAGTCGGAACAAAATTTGAAAATTCTGAAACAGAAATCAGAAAGAAAAATGGAGTGATGCTTCAACTCTGTTTCAGTTCATTATTTTCTTACTCGCTATATTTTTCTTTTTCTTTTTCTTTTTTTAATAGTGAATTACCAGTACCAGTAATTAACATTTAACCGAGAGTAATTTCCAAAATAGTAATTTGACTATGACATTTTTTTAAATTAGTCCTTAGATTTTTAGTTTTTTCAAAATAGTTTTTGACTTTTAAATTTTAAGTAAAAGTGGTCCCCTGTTAGATATGGTGTTAAAATAAAGGGTAAAATTAAAAATTTAGAGTTTGCACTCCAATTTAAAATAATATGTGATTCTTTTAGCTGTCTATGTACATATTTCTTCAAATTAAGTTTTTGTTCTCTTAAATCTGGAATCAAAATGTGGGATAATCAACTAAAAGGCCAAAAAAGTTCATTTTCAATTTCATCCACAAATTTTCCAGGGCAAGGATTTATGGCCTTGTAACAAATCAATTAAAATCTATGATGTTACACAAGAGCAAATTTATTATGTATGTATTCTCGACTAATGATTGCGAGCTTTCCTTGTAACAAAAAATATGTATAATATTACATCCTGCATATTATCATAATCATTACATTTTTAATCATTAAATATTGTTCAAAAGAATTAGGCATGATTACGATTCATTTCAAATCCTCATATAATGTAGGAAGTAAAGGTGTGTTTGGTTCACACATGGGAATCAAAATCGAAATGGGTATCAAATACTTGATAATGGTAATGGATTTTAGTTGAAGTATTTTGCATGTTTGGTAGTAGAGTGGAATGAGAATGTCTAGGCTAAGGATGAATAATGGAATGAAACCCTTATAAAATAAGGGAATGAATTTTTCTATTAATTGGGTATTCCAGACTTACAGTAATATTTTAAAAACCAGTCAACCAAATAATAATAATTACTTTCATACTCATACCTGAGTGTTAAACCTGCCAACCAAACACACCCTAAATCTTAATTATAATTATATATATACAAAGTTTTATCCAATTTCAAAAACAACCATTAACTATATATAAATATAAGTTTTATCCAATTTCAAAAACAACAATTAACTGGAATGGAAATATTATAAAATCTTATTATGAAAAAAAAAAAAAAAAAGAAAGGAAATAAAAATGCAAAGACTAATGAGCCCCTAATCAAGATGGCGTGAAAAAAAGAAAAAATAAATTCAAAAATACACCAAAAAACAAGAGCCATAGATCCAATCAAAATCAAAGGTCAGATTTCGACCACAGACCACATGTAGAAACATGAGATCCTTTGTCTATATATATATATATATATATATATATATATAGGCTTCGAATCTGGTGCAACCCCTATAATAATGCTACAAATCTTTATAAACATGGAAATAAATGAAATGGAAAGTAATAAATATAGTGCTTAAGGACAAAAACACTCATGCTTCATCTAAAATCAGTATAACATGGGATCCAAGTGGTAATCAATCTGAATCTTCTAAAAATTAAAATCAATGATCAGGGAGTGTGCTCACGGGCTCGGCTGACTAGGGGTGTGCACCGGATTCAAAAAATAAATAAATAAATAAATAAATAAATAAATATATATATATATATATATATATATATATTAAGTATACATAACATAATATAATGTATTTCTATATATATATTAGTATATATTAATTGCTATTATCATAATCATAATCATGTATTAATTACATAGTATTTTTTTTTGAGCAAATTACATAGTATATATTACTATGTATATTTAATTAAATTACTATATTAATCGTTATTTTTATATATGTGTATATATTAATTAATTTTCTATATAAAGATGTGCTAGTATAAGTAATAGTTATTACAGGATAATAATTAACTATTAACTATATATTAATATAGTAATAGACTAATATTTATTAATTTACTAAATGTAGATATATGTATATGCGTGTGTTAGTTTTTTTTTTTTTTTTTTTTTTTTTGTGAGAATACATGTATATGCGCTAGTTTGTAGAGATTTATAATATTTAAAATTTTGTAGCAACAATCAACACCGAGTATTAGTAGTACCCTATACAATCATATATTGTTTTTGAAAGCAATATAATTATATATTGTTATTATTTGGAACAATCATAACCAAATTTATTTATCTAAGAATGATCTTGGTAAGAATCGAACTCATGATGTATCCTTTCAGACATATTTGGTATAAATTTTTAATATAACGTTATAACTTTAACGTCACTGCGTTCCAAATGTTACACAAAGGCACAAAGGCATGTATAGTGCCGTCCAACTTTGAAACCTTCGATCGAAACAAGAAAGCCTCCTTTTTACGACAGCTTTTGATTTTAGGATTTTTGTTTATCGTTTTTGCTTTCGATAAGCTCTGCTGCGTAGGATGCGCCATTATGCCAACGTTAACCTTCCAACCTGAAGCTGTAGGAGGAGCCCAATAGCAGTACGAATGGGTCCCGCACCTTTTTCTTCTTTTTCCGGTCAGGTTCAACCCTATTTAAAGTAAGGAATTAAGGATGTGCTGAAGTAACCTAACAAGTTAGTCAGAACATTAATTTAATATGATTAATATTATTTAAAGTTAAATCCTCAATTTCATGGGTTCTTCACGTCCCGGTCTGACATAGAGTTTGAAAAGATGTAAATGAAAGTCAATTTGGATGTAGTACGGGCATAATTAAGGTCTAACAAAAAAAAAAGATTTATTCAATACTTATAATGTTACAATTTCAACTCTCAACAAAAATGACCTATTAATTTTCTTAATTTGAATCGGTCGACGAAATTTATTCATGGCATATATTGGAGATAGTTACGGTGAATTTCTCTAGTCATACTAAAAAACAGTAGTTCGCACGTGCTTAGCTCAGCGTTTTTTTTTTAGTATCTGTTGCCAATAACCTCTTCTGAAGCTCAAACTCACAATCTGCCGTATAGGAGTCTAACCCGGGTGCCATCTGTAAGGTGCTTGGCAGCTTAGCGATTTAGTATGTAATATTTGGGAGAGGAAAAAAAAAGTAATGATGGGGCCCCACGGTGTCGAGATTTTCTAAACGTTTGAAAAGAAAAGGGGAAGGAAGGGGGGACGGCATCATCAAACGTTCGAAAACTCCCTGCTTTCTTTCATTAGACCGTTGCGACATCAATTTCCATATCCTCTCTGCTCTCTCGACCGAAAACTCAAACGTTGGGGGAGCTAGACAAGGAACAAACATCCAAACATGGGGGGGACCAACGAATCTGTGTCGCTATTGTCCGCTCTCGACCCCAAGTCTCTGCTGTTATCGCAGTTTTCCAGCGCCGATCAGCCGCAGTTTCTGCAGCTGACGACGGAGGGGTTTCTTCTCGAGCGAGGGCCGCGGTACAAGGCGTACGCCGATCTCCGAGAGTCGAAGCTCAGAATGAAACACATGAAGCCGCCCGTTTCCGAGGAGGAGGAGGAGGAGTTGATCTTGACTCCTCCGAAGAAACAGGTGAAATTTCAGGGGAGTATGGCCACGCCGCCTCGGAGATCAAAGGGGGCGGGGGCGGGGGCGTCTGTTTTGACCCAGTCAGTGCCGGATTTCTCGTACGCGTTGAGGAAGGAGAACCGGAAGCCGCCGCCGACGCCGCTGCCGCCGGTGATGGAGAAGTCGGTGACGCCTCCTCCGCCCGGGATGAAAAGTGGGAGGTTTGTTGGGGGCGTGGGGAGTAAATCGTTGAACTCAGGGGATAAGAGGAGTGGAGGGTTGATGACGACTAGGAAGAGTTATGCTAATTTGGAGGAGTTTAAGGGGTTGGCTTCTGCTGCTAGGAACGCCATTAATGGAGGAGACATTAGGGCTGGGAATGGAAGAAGGGGTGGCAAGACTGTTTTAGGCTACAGACAGCTCTGAATCTTGAAAAAAAAATGGTTTTTCTGTGATTCTTTTTCCTTGTGAGGTTTTGATTTTTTGATTTTTTTTTGATTACCTCAGAAAATGGTTCTTCTATACAAATTTCCATTATGTATAGATCAGAGGATTTGCTTTTCTGGATATTCAATATTGAATTGCTTAATAAATTCCCAGTTTTCACTTTTATGGATTTAAATGTGATGTGTATGGGAAATTTGTCATACTATTGACTTGATAATTACAAGATTATTGAATTTCTTGGTTTGAGTCGATCAGCTGTGGACAATACAACTTAAATTGATTTATCTCTTTGTTTATCATCATTATAATGGCTGAGGATTTTTCTCGTGACTCAAAAAAATGCCCACTATGAAGAAGAATGGCTTAATGAAAATTGAAAAAGGCAAATTCATGAAAGCACAGGTTTTATGATGCAAATTCTATGAATACAAATTCTACTAAAACTGATATCAGATACAAAGTCAGTCACTACAGTGCTCCATTTGTACAAACATTCATGCTAAAGATTTGATGAAGAAGAAGAAGAGGGATCCCTTGGAATGTTGATTTTGGAACCCTCATTACTTGAAACCTGGTTTACACTACAGTACAGAGGTCCATCACAACTTCATCTACCAAACTCTGGAGTATCTGTCGATCGATTTCACCGCCATTTTCAAACACTTCAACCTCAAAATCAGTCCATTTTCCCAAAGAATGACTCATGTCCCATTCTATTTTATCATCATGAATCAACCCCGTCATTGCCATCCACCGTTTCACCTCCCCGAGTATCTCAAACACTAGCATCTCTGTGTTCATGCAAGCCGGTAGCTTTGTCCATGCCCTGAAACCAGATTTGGAATATCGACTGACCTTCGTGTCTACAACCTCTAAAACGCAATCAAAGATGAACTGTTTAAGTTGGCTTCCATGTTTGGCATTCTCGAGGCCAAGTAGGTCACGAAACCTCATCAACATAACACTCGCCAGCGTTTCAAGTTCCTCGAGAACAAATTGGGTTACAGAAAAACCTGTGTCTAGAAGTCCAAGTACTAGTTCAGCATTTAAAAGTATCTCCTTTGAATACTCAAGCTTGCTTCCTCTCAAGTCACCGTTAAAAAGGTTGATCTTTTGTAAAACTGCAGAAATGTTGTTAAAAAGTTCACTGGCCAATGTTCTATAGCACTTCCCCGTGGCCAAAGAGGTTGCAGAGTCCAGAAATTCATCACAGGAATACAAAGAATCAGCAATCAATTTATCCCCTGAAACTGAAAACACGGGATACATACAACAGTTAGAACTCAAAAGTACGAGGCTATTCAATAGATACATAGAATAGAAATATGGGTTTATACTTGAGTTTCCATCCAGACTGCTCGAGATGTAACTGTTATTCGAAAATGAACCTTCGAGAACGGATCCCGGGCTGAAGTGATTAATATCCTGGTTGTATCCAGCTGGGGTTGTGGCTGATTTTGCCGTGGCCTGAGCATATTTATCAAAGTAGAAACGAAATCTCAAATATATTTGTAAAAGTGCATGACTAAATAGTAATGAATTATAGAGTAATGCTAACCTGAAACTTCATTGGGGTATAGTCATGATGAGAGATATCAGTTTTCCCGTTAGATCTTACAATAAAATCATCCTCGGGAAATTGTCTCTCTGCTGTTAAAGCAGATATTAGCTCCTGAAGAATGACAGCAGTAGTTTTTCTTGATCCTTCGGCCAACTCGACTTCTTGACAAGTCAGCTCTTTCAGTTTCTGTTCCAGAATCGCGCCAAGTGTGTCCCCTCTCAAACCAAACGGTGGTTCCTCTGAGCAAATGCTGCCATTATTTTCCTTCAATACCAATTTCCCCGGGGTCCTATCAGAACATGAGTTAGCCTGGAACCTTCTTCCAATAGCTTCTCCTTGCACCCCCGCCTTCTGCTTCACTGGCGATTTAAAAGTGAATGAAACGATATCATTGGCCTTCTGTCTCGAGCCATTTTCGCCAGTTTCTTGTGGATATGGCGACTTCCTATCAGTATAAGCCCAGTTCTTGGAGCTACCACTTAGTCCTTTTCCTAAATTAAAATTTGTGAACTCCGAACTCTCACCTTGTCTAGTTACATTTACAGACCTTCTCTTACGCACTGGAGAAAGGGACTCGGTTCTCCTATTACAAAATCTTCTTTCTGATTCAAAAGCACAACTATCTGATTTGGTTGGCACCCTCATTCGAGCACTTCCATTTAAGGCTTTGTTCAGCGCAACAAAATTTTTTGTCTCGTTGACAGAATTCGCTGCTGATGTGACTCTATTGCTCTGCAAACTGCTTGACCTTTCCCTTTGAGGAACTCTATCTCTCCCGGGAAACATTTGATTTGGCTTTTGAGATGAACTATGGCTCAGTTGGCACTCTTGGCTAGTCAACTTCTGTGGCATTTGGCCTCTGGTAACGGGATTCTTCTCGAATCTACCTCCTGAAGAACATAATTCTTCTTCTACAGCAGAAGAATACAATGGCCCCTGATGAGCCCATTCCTTTTGTTCCTGGGAATAAAATACGGGCACTCTTGGCATGCTTCTTTCTGAATCTTGACAATGTTCGATGCAATTTGAAACAGGCGAAGGAATTATAAATGGTTGTTCTTCTTGGCTCGGTATGGAGTCCAAGATGTCAAGCGAATGGCCACAATGTTTACACGATGTTCCCTTGAGTGGATTGGCAGTGCCCGAATAGTAACTAGAGAATTCAGAATTGCAATTGCCCGGTGTTGAACTTATCGGGTGCTCCTGCAAAACTGCTGGAGGTCGAGGCAGGGCATATTTCCCCCTACTCTTCTGCATCCCGGGCTCCAGAATCTTGGTAGCAACACCAATCAACCGAGATGCATTTCTCCCAGCAACATTCCTAGGACTTTTCAGCGGAGTAGCCAGCTTCCGGTGATGCTGCTTCCTAGACCGCGACAGCATACTCTTTATCTGCAATGCCTCAGCACCAAACCTAGTCACCGGGCGCCTCTCACTCAGCCCCGTTTTCTGAAGCTTCTGAGGCCTTAATTCTTGCTTTGCCCCCATTTTCACAAAGCTTTGCTCTTCATCCCCAAACCTACCTGTATCACAACCAAACTTCTCCTCCTTATTACCTGTAGAAGATTCATTAAATGAAACCTTCTTTGGCTTCTCCTTTGGAACTGCTGGCATTGAATCCAGCCCCATGAGCCTAGCAACCAAACCCGGAGATCGCATTTCATGCTTCTTTTCGGAATAAACACTACACCCTTTGCTATTACTCTTAATAATATTAGGAAAGCCCCCACTGTTCTCATCAGCAATCTATCCATTCACACACAAAAACAAGCCCATTAGACTCCAAGCAAGTTAAAAATGCTCAATTTTGTTGAAAGATTCCATACCAATCTATGCTTTGGCTGTTTCTCATCTCCCCCAAACTTCTTAGAGCCTTGCTTTAAACGAACTAACACAACGAATGCAACACATGAAAAGATTAAAAGATAGCCTTTTTACTCAGTACTAGAAAAGAACACACAGCCACACAGGCATCTAGTTATCATAGATATGGAAATGCAGCACAAAAAGAAAGCTTTTTGACTCAGTCCCACAAATGAAAACTATCATAGACATAGTAAAACAACATGATTTGTTTTCCCTAAGGTTAAAACAGGAAACACAGGGAACAGAAAATGGGGAAAGAACTGACCTGGTGGGAGCAGTTTCTTGGAAAATAGTTTCTTCTTGGCAAACCTGCGGTTCCAATCAAACAACTGAAAGAAGATGCCCACACAGCCCCCACTTCTTTGAGGCTTCTTCTCTGTTATAGCCAATGATGAAGCTGTTATCCCCCCACTTTCACTCATTTCTTCAACAATGCTCCCAAGAAATTCTTGAATACCTCTCAAGCTCCTTCAGTTATTCACCTAGGAGGAACCTTATCTCTTCTACCCAGCATCTCATTTCCATTTCTTGGCCCAGAAAGACATCATTTTTGGTCAGTGCATTTGGCCAAAGCTGCTTCCAAAGTAGGAAAAAAAGGTCACTGAGAAAACACGCTAATAATCCTCTGAAATTCCATGATCCTCTCCCCACTAAAGGCTGAGAAGAAAGACACAGTACGGAGGGGGTCTCTGCTTTCGCGCAATGTGCGTGTAGTTGAAGCGCACACAGCTCACAGGTGAAACTGACAAAAGGGTATGAGAGAAAAGAGGAAAAGGGAGTAATTGATTACTCCGTTACAGTTCCGTAATATCAAATCACAGCAATCAAAAGAGAATAATCATGGGGAATTTTTACAAGCTGTAATTTTTTCTTTTCTTTTTCTGTTTTTTTTTTTTTTTCTTTTGGGGGGTTTGAGGATTTCGAAAAAGTGAATGTGAAGTCTTGACGATGAAGGGGTTTGTTCTTCCTCTACTCGCTAGTCGCTACCTGCTTGCTAACTCTGCCCCTTGTAACTAGCAGTCATAGCTGCTCAGTGGCCCTCCTTGAAAACGGCCGCTCTTCTTTTTTCATTTCCTTTTTTTTTTTTTGAAAAATACTACCTGTATTCTCATTTCATGCTCACTACTTTTACTCCTACACTTAAAATATTGATGTACACAATTTACCAGGCTTACATGAAAAAAATAACATATCAGAGCTCGCCACATCAGGCAGTAAAATTTGAGAATACATGTGGTAAAATTCTTATTTTTTGAGTGAAGTATGAAAGATAGTTACTATTCAAGAATGTAACTCTAGCCGATAAAGAATTAGGGAAATAAATCAATCTAAATTACACATAATTAGTTAGCTCAAACCTAACGTCATGTGTTTATAGAGTATGACGGCCTTCGTCTTGTGATTCTAGTCAACCAAGAATCATTTGAAAATAAATTATGTTAGGTTATTCATAACTGACCAAAAGGTCAATAAATCTGAAAATCAAATTTAAACATTACGATTGCTAAGTTAACGACCTGACTGATTTAATTAGAATTACCTCTAATTGCTGAATTATATTAACTCTTAATAAAGTGGTCGAATGAATAAAACGTGATTCTCGTATCTGAATGGGCATAAGTTGAATCTAATATTAATGTTGGAAATGAGTTGTAGGTGGCTAGTCTAAGCCCCACAAGGTATGGTCCATGTAACATTATGCATCCCTAGCCATGGGCATCATTGCAGGAATGGTCAAAATGGCAGAAGAAGGCAGCGGCACAAACAAACAAACCTCTAAAATTATTTTTTTCTCGCACAGCTTCGTTTAGTCTACGTCTGTCTGCTAACTTGCGCTGTCGTGATATGGTGGAGGGCTGGAGCGCATGTTGGTAAAGGTGACGCGGGAGTTACACGCGCGAGGGGATGGGAGGGGAGTCGAATGCGTTCGCGGTTCGCACGGAGCCAAACGGCGGCGAGTATGGGCGGGCGAGTAGGTTGTGGCGGAGCGTGGGGCTTTGGAAGTGGAAGTGGAGTTGAGACACGTGAGCGTTTCGTACCTTGAAATGGTTGATGGGACCAAGAAAATTGTTAGGTGTTTACTGCCAACGAAGCATTTCACAGACACACCATGAAACCAGTAATATCATCCAACGGTAATTCTACTTATTATAAATGCATTGTAAATACTGAAATATGATTCTTGTACATTCTTACAAATATTTTTTTAATCAAATTTATTTCACATATGTCTTGTTTGATAATATAATTAATTTATTAATTAATTTTAACTTATTTAATCAAACATTAGTTGTTTGACTTTGTTAAATAACTACACTGTTTGATTAATTATTTTTTTACCAAATATTCTCAGTCTTTTTATTTAATTTGCAAGTTATTATATTATAACATAATAACATAATTTTAATCGTGCACACCTTCTCATAATGTTTACAGATTTTCCTTTCAATTCTAGTTGACTAGTTGATGAACATGTAAACCGACCAAAAAAGAAATAATCATAATAATAAATTATTATTGTTATTATTCTTATTTTTAGTGTCAATAATAGAGGTGGAAATGTGGAATTATGTTGGATAGCATTAACACTAATGCCATTAATGTTTGTATAACAACAATTTACCTAGTATAATTGACATTATAATAATGGCAAAATCTCACATTCTTGAATTCTTAAAATTATAATCCAAACAAAATTTCTAATCTTTTTGAATAATACTTAACATGAAATTTCTACATACGTATTAATGCCTCCATAAAGTAATTATAGTGAGATTAAATAACAATTCATGCCAAAAACTTTGTAGTAAAATAATATAATTGTGGCTCTCCTAAATGAGAGCTCAGAAGCCACTCCAGTGGGAGCATTATTACATTGTTACAGAGTCAATAGTCAATTAAAAAAATTATAATTCATTTTTTCTTTTTTGAGAATTTGATTTGATTACCCAAGTCAAAACCCTAATAAAGATTGATGATGATTTGTTAGAATGTTGACCTTAGTTTACATGTCAATGTCGTATCAGCAGACATTATGCTTAATACGTCCAAAACATAACAAGCAACTGGATCGGATATAAATTGTCTTACTGAAATACTTTCTATATTTTAAAAGCAATTTTTCTGTCTTATCAATTTGTTTTAACCATAAAAATTAGTAAATAATAAAAATTTTGGAGGGTTTCGAAAATACTACTCCGTATAAAAAAAATTCCCCAGTGGATATAATAGGAAACTATAGAAAATAAAACAAGTGGGACTAGATTCCACTAGAATATGCAATTTTAGTTTCATAAAGAAATAGGATCTGACATCTCAAAATACTATTACAGCTCGTTTGGTTCGCTGGAAAATATTTAAAGGGAAATGGAATTGAAATTTCATGGAAAATAAATTCCAAGAAAACAGATTCCATTGTTTGGTTGGTGGAAAAGAAATTACTGGGAATATAAATTCCATTGTTTGGTTGAGTTTGGAAGGGTAAGGAATACTGAGTATAATGACAAATATAACCCTACACAATAATAATAATATAATAATAATAAGAGTAATTAATAAAGAATGGTGAGGGTAAAATTGTCATATTAATTTTCCATGGAAAAGGTTTTCCATGGAAAAGGTTTTCCATGGAAAACAAAATACCTAGCATAAGCTAGGAATTTGTTTTCCTTGTTCTTAAGGAAAACTTTTTCCAATGGAAAAAATTTTCCATCCAACCAAACAACATAAAACATCATTTTCCTTCACTTTTAGGAAAACATTTTCCATGGAAAATGTTTTCCATCCAACCAAACACCCCCTAATTGCCTCAAAAAGGGTGTGCAACGGTAGACATGATTTTCATATTAAAAGTTACGACTAAGGGGGCGTTTGGTTCAGGTTATATAACATAACCAAGGGAATGTGACATTCCAAAGCTCACATTTCTCTGTTTGGTTCATATTATCTCAGGGAATCTAACATTCCCATGGAATGTCACATTCCCTCCACATAGGATTTTGAAGGGAATGTGATTCCCTTCAATTTCTAAGGTTATGTAAGATAACCTTGGTTATGTTAATTTATTATACACACACACACACACACACACACACACACACACACACACATATATATATATATATATATATATATATATATATAATTATTTTTGTAATTATATATTTTTTATTTTTATTATGTTAGGTTAGCATATAAAATAATTTTGTTTCTCAAGTTCAAGATTTTAGTTAATATTTTAAAATCATGTAATTATATATGATACCGTTATCTTATTTATTTATATTAATTTTTAAATTTATTAAAATATATGAAAATATGTTAATGATATTATAGTGTGTGGATAAAAGATAACCCTAAACCAAACATGATTATATTACATACCCCAATTTTAACCAAACACAGTAATCTAACATTCCCAGTAATCTAACATTCCCAGCAATCTAACATTCCGTAAGATAATCTGACATTCCGTGAACCAAACGACCCCTAAAAGGAAATAATGGTGGCTTATAAGGGCTTTATGTAATTATGTAATTATGTAATTATGCAAATTTTAGTTAGTTATTTAGGATTACAAGTCATGTTGATGCCTTCCTTTGTAATAAAACAAGTCATGTTGATGGGTATGATTTGACAAAATAATAGTGAGAACACAAGATGCTGATCTAATCAAGTATTTTGATGTTAAGACTCACTATTTATATTCGTTACAAGCGTTGTTATCTAGTTATTAAAATAAATCAAAATGTAGTTAGTGTTCAAATACAAGGGAATATATGATCCAATTTACCATTTACTTCCCTTCATCATCATACATTCATACTAAAACCACAGTTTATGACATGTTCAACACACACACACATCTTGACTTGTCACGTGTCTCAAGTAGAGTTATTTGATCGTTTTCTCTTGTAGAATGTGTTATTATATTCAACAACTCAGTAATTAAGAAAATGATCAAATAGATCCATGAACTTTATATGGAAAAAAAAATCGTAACTTATCTAAATTTTAAAAATTTACAATAAAACATTTTAACTCGTCGCTTTGATGCAATTATTTGATAAATTTAATCTCAAATTAATGTCATTACTCAATAGAATGAACCATATACTATAAATCCAATACCAAACATACTTATTCTCTGTCTATAAAATAGAAAATTATAGGCTGATTATACTTTAAAAAAAAAAAAAAAAACAATTATTGATGTATCAAAAAATACGGAGTAATATATATAAAACGGAAGACAAGTTGATGTACCGTTTTGTACGCATTAGAGGGTATTGTCCAATTAAAAAACAAACGAACAACAAAGGCAAATTATGCCGTGAGCACGTGCCCACTGCCCACCATGTACATGGTGTGCACGAATCTATATACATAATTTTTATACTGTAGATTTATATTTTCTATACTGTAGATTTATAATTTCTAGAATCTTGGTGAGATAAAATGTATACTTTAGATTCCAATTGTTGAACCATATTTTCACAAATCAGTGCAGTACAGAAATTATAAATTTACTGTATTTAAATTATGGATCCTACGATTTTAGAAATTATGAATTTAAAGTATAAATTTTAGCTTATCAAAAATTTAAAAATTATAAATCTATATTATAAAAATTATAAATATAAATTCGTGCGCACCATGCAAGATGGGCACGTGCTAACAACATAACTATTGAACAACAAAGGCCGGACTAAGCCCACTATAAGGGTTTGTTAAATGGGCCAAGAAAGCCCTTTAGACCTCATAGCAATCAGTATGGCAAATTATACTATGAGGCTATGAGCCACGGCAAATAGGCCTGAGCATCGGTCGGATTCGGACGGATCAGATGTCTAATCCGTCCATCCGATCGGATTTCGGATTTCTTTTGTACCCCCTTATTCGTTTATTTTTTTGGACAGATCCTATCGGAATGCATAGGTTCGGATTTTGGATATCCGTTGTCG